ATATTACTTAAAAACAAAAACATAAAGCACTCTGTTATAGAGAATTACAAGAAAAATAATTTTGTGACAAAAAATGTTACGTACTACTACTAGCTCATAAAACTTAAAAGCCAATAAATTTATTGTTTCACACATTAAACGTTATAACATGACAAAATACTACATCACTTTGATTCTGACAGCATAAACTCATGAAAAAACGCCTCAATATGATTGAATTAATTCATAATGTTTACGGTTTCCATGGCTACTAGTATTAGATAAACGCTGCGTTTTGTACATAACTATTTACTTTAGCAAGGTACAGTAAAATAAACGAGGCAGTACACCCAAATCTGTGGATATTTTGTACTTTTGCTTAATTTTGAATTCTGGTTTTTAAAAATCTAATTTCATATGAAATTAAAAACAAGAAACATTAAAAACTTGTCAATAATAAATGTTTAGCTTCTTGGATTTCAAACTCTGAGTCAAAGTACTAAACAAACCGTGCATGATACTCACGTGCAAGTGCAACTTTTTCAGATCGGAAATTAACGAGGTAAATATATTATATACAATTAGAAGTGATGTTTTAATACATATGTTGTATGTACTTTCTTATATTTACGAACAAACGCAAATATATATAGAGCAACACGATAAACTTGCACTCTTTAAAATAATCTTACTTAAAGTTAAAACTACACGAACCAATTTATTTTACAGTATTGCACAGTACCACCCACTTGTATACCATAAGTAACTAACCGGTAACCAATGAAACCTTTGGAAATATCTTGCAATGATATTATCGAGTTTACGTATGAATGACGTAATACTTTCCAGTCGAGGCAGGCCTGTGCTTTCTAGATAATTCCGCTAAGTGGTGCTAACAGAATGTTGGTAATAAAATGTTATATTAGGGTAATGCAATGAATTTATTGTTTCAAATATAGTTACAATGATATAATGCTATATGAATGTGTCAGGGCTTGAATTCTGAAACATTAACGAGGGGAACTCCCAAAATCGACTCACAGATGGATGTTCTCACAATCAAGCATTTAACAGTCAGTTTTTTTTTCTTTCTGTTAACAAGGCGAACAGTATTATCCTTTTTACGTCACAGTTCCATCACCGAGTATAATACATTATATAAGCTAATAAAAACGCCTCAGTATCATTGAGTATGAAGGTGCATAGTCAGTTTCTACTAGATCAAAATGTTTAAATAAATCGTATAAATAAATAAAAATATTTAGCTATTTATTAGTAGCAAGAAACATGAAATAATCAAGTGCAAGTTTTCTAATAAAATCACTGGATAAATACTGTTCTGAACACAAAATACTGTTACGACAGCGGGGGTCACGTGACTATGGTAACACGTCATATTCTCGAAAGTTCGTGAAGTCTCGAGAGGTTACTAGATATGCGGTATTCTTGTATATATAAGCCGCCAAGAAGTGACGGCAACAATGTAATGTAATGTGTAATTGCACTGCGGACAGAGTATCGTTGAGTCGAGCACGTGGGACGTTCGTTGTTAATTATAGCGTTTGTTATAGCGCGACTGTTGAAATTAAGTGTATCGCAAAGTTGTATTCAAAAAGAATAAACTAGTTTTATTTAAGAAAGTATTTGTATCGGTAAAGTTTCCTCGGAAAAAACTTTTACGGAAATTAATTAACGACCGTAGACGTAACAATACTATACAAACATATACCATAAAATGACAGGTGGGGGGGGGGGGCTTTATCGACTTTTTAATTAACTACATTTTCTAGACTAATTATGCATAAAATTGCATGCTGATCTATGCCTTTGTGGTACGCAGACATATTATGCATTTGCTACCTTCTCGTATTAATGTAGAATTTTTCAAAAATTTTCGATTAGTCTTAATCTATGCAGTTAACACGTGGTCCAAAATTCGTTGATTTGACTCTGTTGTAGCTGCCTTCAATTCTTTGTTATTCTCTGGATATAAGTTTGTTTGTTTGTAATTAAGCACAAAGCTACACAATGGGCTATCTGTGCTCTACCCATCAAGGGTATCGAAACCCGGATTCTAGCGTTGTATGTCCGCAGACATACCGCTGTGTCACTGGGGGGTCTGGAGATAAGGCCGGTTACGTCCGTTGGGCATAATGCTGCATGTTGTGCAATAATATTGGCAGAAGTGTACTTCAGTGGTAGGCCAGATGATACCTCAAGGTTATGACTCTTACAGCCTCCCTTAATAAAGTGACTAGCGCTAGTCTCTATGGGTAAATCTGACGTTTCCCGTTTATTAAGAAACTTAGATTTAAACAGCACTACTTGCGTGACGTGAAGATATCTTGAGGGAAAAAAGTCAGTTGATCATTTCTTGAGTTCAGTGAAAAGCGACCATTTAGTGTACAATACAAGTATGAACACTGTGTTTTTGTCTAGGTGATAATAAATATTGCTTTCACATTGTGTCCAGTCTGCTTCCTTAAGTTCAGCCAGTTTAGTTAAATTCAGTATTACTCCATAATTTATCCTGTCAATTCTCCAAACCTCAGACTACTACAACTTTATTAGTTACAGGCAATCACCATCCAATAAAGATCCCTCCGAGGAGAATAGCTCCAGCAAAGCGACAAGAGATGGAGAAGGTCATGGATGGTCTAATTAA